TCTGTGCCGCCCTCAGCTGTTCCTGGGCTTCACCAAGGTGCGGCTGCTGCGGCTGCGGAACCCCTGGGGCCGCGTGGAGTGGACCGGGGCCTGGAGCGACAGGTGGGCTGGGCCGGGGGGGGGGTAGGGGCTCGGCTCTGCCGCCCCTCTCACACCCCGGTGTCTGCAGCTGCCCCCGCTGGGACTCCCTCCCCGCCGAGTGGCGAGACGCCCTGCTGGTGCAGAAGGAGGACGGCGAGTTCTGGTGCGTTCTGGCGGGGCTGCCCCCTGGTGGCGGCGGGGCCAGGTTGCGGATCGGGAGTCGGGGCAGAGTTGGTAGTCATATTAGGAGAGCATGTGAGGACTTTACGAGGTTCGCGGAAAATGGAACGCAAAGTTTATTTTGGTGCAAAAAAAAAAATGTGAAATGTACGCGTCTTCACACAGCTCATGAAAAATATAAGTGGTGAGAAATCTATGCATGGATCTCAAACTTTTTTGTGCCAAAACAAACTTGCTCGGTCCATCTCTCCGGGAGCCTCCTGCGGGACCCTGGGTTGGGAGCTGAGCGGGGACGGGCGCACTCGGGGCAGTGGAGGCTGGCTCGGGGCGGGCGGGGGTTCCCTGAGTTTGGCAGGACCGAGGGCCGCTCCGGCTCGCTGATAACTGCAGCACGGGGGCCTTGTGCAGTGGCCTTCAGCCCTCGGACGCCCCCTCTCGGGGAGCGTGTGGGTCTTGGCGCTTTGTGGGCACGTGGAGGACTTGGAGAGGTTCGGGGGGCCGGAGGGCTCAGTGATTCTGGAAGCTGAAGGCTGCTTGGCAGTATTCAGAGAAGTTGGGGGCCCTGTGAGCTGGGGAGCTGTGAGCCGGGGGGGGGGGGCTGTCTGAGCTGTGAGCCGGGGCCGTGCGAGCCGGGGGTCGTTTGCGCGCCCACCATGCAGGATGGAGCTGCAGGACTTCCTCCACCATTTCAACACCGTCCAGATCTGCTCGCTGAGCCCCGAGGTGCTGGGCCCCAGCCCGGCGGGGGGCGCCTGGCACGTCAACACCTTCCAGGGCCGCTGGGTGCGCGGCTTCAACTCCGGCGGGAGCCAGCCCAGCGCCGGTGCGGCCCCCGGGGACCTGGGAGGCGCGCGGGGAGCTGGGCGCTGCGGCAGGCGCGGCGACCCCGTCTCCTCCTCCCCCCCCTCCATCAGAAACCTTCTGGACCAACCCCCAGTTCCGGCTGACGCTGCTGGAGCCGGATGAAGAGGACGACGACGATGAAGAGGGGCCCTGGGGGGGCTGGGGGGCAGCGGGGGCGGGGGGTCCCGCGCGGGGCGGCCGCACCCCCAAGTGCACGGTTCTGCTGTCGCTCATCCAGCGCAACCGCCGGTGCCTGAGGGCCAAGGGCCTCACCTACCTCACCGTGGGCTTCCACGTGTTCCAGGTGCCCAGGAGGGGCGGCAGGGGTCGATCAGAGGGCGTGGGAGGAGCCTCAGGGAAAAGGTGGGGGCCGGGGACCCCGAGGTTGGCGTCAGACACAGGCGGGGGCCAAAGGGGCCAGGGGAGGGAGGGCTGGAGAGGAGTCAGGGGCAGGGTTCTGGCTCTGGTCGTCCAACGGGACGAAGAGGGAGGGGCCTGAGGCATGGATGGCAGGGAGGGGCCCTGAGTAGTGGCCAGATCCCCGCCCCCACCTGCCTGACTCCGCCCCCTCGTTCTTGGTCCCCGCCCCCACCTGCCTGACTCCGCCCCCTCGTTCTTGGTCCCCGCCCCCACCTGCCTGACTCCGCCCCCTCGCTCTTGGTCCTGGCAGATTCCAGAGGAGGTGGGTCTCAGATGGGGCCCCGCCCCCAGGGCTGGAGGGCGCCGGGCAGGTCAGGCCGGGGGCCCGGAGGTGCGCAGGGATGGAGGGTGGCGGGCGGGGAGCCCGGCCGTCGTGGTCACGCCGCCCCCGACCGACCCCAGCTGCTGGGCCTCTGGGACACCCCGCGCAGCCGCGCCCTCCTGCCCCGGCTGCTGCGCGCCGACCGCTCCGTGTTCTGTGCCCGCCGGGACGTGAGCCGCCGCTGCCGCCTGCGCCCCGGCCACTACCTGGTGGTGCCCAGCGCCGCCCAGGCCGGCGACGAGGCCGACTTCACGCTGCGCATCTTCTCCGAGCGCCACCACACGGCCCTGTGAGCCCCGCCCCGGGATCCCCAGCCCCAGGTGGAGGAGCCCAGCGGCCCTGCCCCGCCCCGGCCTGCCCCCTCCCCAACCGCCCCTCCGAATTTTTGCAGGGAGGTTGATGACGTCATCAGCGCTGACCTGGAGGCCCTCATGGTGAGAGGCTGCTCTGGAGGGCACATGGGGTGGGGGTGTGTGTCTAAAGATGTATTTACTTATTAGAGTCTGGAATCGCCCACCTGCTGTTCAGTCCCCAGAGGGCAGCATGGTCAGGGCAGGGCCAGCCCAAGACCAGGAGCTTCCTCCAGGTCTCCCATGTGGGTGGCTGGGGCCCAAGCATTTGGGCCACCTTTTGCTTTCCCAGGCCTTAGCAGGGAGCTGGATTGGAAGCGGAGCAGCCGGGACATGAACCGGCACCCATATAGGATTCTGGCATTGCAGGCGGCGGCTTTACCCGTTACACCACAGTGCCAGCCCCAAGAAGCGGGTTCGTGGCCAGAACTAAACTCCTTGCACCCCACAGGTCCCCTATGTGCCCATGGCACCAGAGTTGGAGCTGCTGTTCCAGGAGCTGGCGGGGGAGGTAGGGCAGGGGCAGCGCTCACCGGGGGCCGCCCCTCCTGGAGTCATCCTCACCCCCCCCCCCAACACTAGACCCTCTTTTGGGAAACCTCAGCTCTTCCCTGCCCCAGGGCCTTTGCTGAGTCTGTCCCCGCCCACTTCCTCCCCAACCCTCCTGTGCCCCTCTGTGGGCGGGGCCAGCCCAGCCTGAGCAGTCGGCCTCTGTGGCTGCTGTTCCAGCACTTCCCCGGGGCAGCGCCCGGCCTCACTGCCGCTGTTTCCGGAGTAGGATGAAGAGCTGAGCGCCCCCCAGCTGCAGACCTTACTCAGCATCGCCCTGGAGCCCGGTGAGGGGGAAGGGGCCCCGCCCTGGTGGGGGCTGGAGCGGGCCAAGCGCCCCTCCTGCTCCGTGGCCGCAGGCTCCCTGTGCACTGTCCTCTTCCTCCGTAGCCAGAGCTCACAGCGGGGTCCCCAGAGAGATCGGGGTCAGGACATGCGAGCAGCTGCTGCAGTGTTTTGGGGTACACGGGCAGGGCCTGGGAAGGGGCATGTGGGGGGTCTCCTCCCCTGCGAGGACACTGCCTTTAATCAGATGCCTCCTCCCCAGCACGGGCACAGCCTGGCTCTGCACCACTTCCAGCAACTCTGGGGCCACCTGCTGGTGTGGCAGGTGAGGTGTGGACAGAGCCGGGCAGGCACGGGGGCCCCAGGAACAAGGGGGGGACGGGACCACCCCCAGGTGACTTGGAGTGCTGTCGGGGGTCTGACTGAGCGACCTCAGGGGGGGCCTGTGCCTGCCTGCAGCTGGGCGGCTGCAGATCCCCGGCAGGAAGCGCTCAGAGCCCCTCCATACTCAGCCAGTGTTCATTGAGCCCTTGCCCGTATTACAGACTGGCAAACGGAGTGGCTATGCCGTGTATCTCAGGCCCACAGCCGGGATGGGAAGGCGGCTGTCCGGCCTCAGAGGCCCCCTTTCCAGGCAGTTGGGGGTTGGGGGAGCTGACTGCTGTCTCCTGGTCCAGGCCACGTTTGACAAGTTCGACGAGGACGCCTCCGGGACCATGAACTCCTATGAGCTGAGGCTGGCGCTGAACGCCGCAGGTGCGGATGGGGTCCTGGGGGGCTGTGGGGAGGGAGGGGGCCTGTCCCCCCACGTGCCCTCCGTCAGCTCGGACTCCCGGCTAGGACTGTGGTGGCCACAGACGAGGCCAAGCTGTGGGGGAGGAGAGGGGTATTCCAGGGAGTGGACGATTAGGAGCTGCTATGTGCCCCCGGGGTACCATGGTGGAATGTTCTGGATTCCTGTGAGCTGGGGCTGGAATCCTATACTGACTTGCCCTGGGCCTTGATCTGTCTCTGACAGGGCTGGAGGACCTAGCAAAAGCCACAAGAGGGCCCCAGAGCCCACCTGGCCAGGGTCGGGTTCTCTCGGTGCTGGGCCCAGCAGCCCAGTGCACATGGGCAAAGGCTGGAGGGAGACAGGCGGCAGGCCCTGGAGCCGGGCACTCGGTAGCTGCGTCAGAGGAGGGCGGGCCCGGCCTGGGCTGACCTGGGCTTCGAGGCAGCTCGTGCAGTGGCCTTGGGGCTACAGCTCTGGACACGGCGGGCAGAAGGTGGGAACCAGGGCGTCTGGAAAAGCTGAGGTCCCACAGACACGGCCTCTGCTGGGCAGACTGCCCGCGATCCAGACGGACGCCTGGGCCGGGAGCGTGGCCTGGCAGCCCTGCCCCACGCGGCTCCCGGGGCCTGGGTGGGGGTGCGACGCTGAGGTGCCTCCCCCTAGGCTTCCACCTGAACAACCAGCTGACCCAGGCCCTCACCAGCCGCTACCGGGACAGCCGGCTGCGTGTGGACTTCGAGCGCTTCGTGTCCTGCGTGGCCCAGCTCACCTGCGTCTTTCGTGAGTGCCACGGAGCCGGGGGGGGGGGCGCTGGGGGAGGTGGGCGCTCACCCGGTCCCTCTCTGCACAGGTCACTGCAGCCAGCACCTGGATGGGGGTGAGGGGGTCGTCTGCCTGACCCGCAGACAGGTGAGTGTGGGCTGGGTGGACAGGGTGGCTCAGGTGCGCCCCAGGAGGCCCCCATTGGAGCCCCGTCTTCTCTCCCCCAGTGGCTGGAGGTGGCCACCTTCTCCTAGGATCTCCGCACCTGCTGTGGAGCGAGACCACCCGCCCCCACCCCTGCACCTCGGATCTGCGCTCCCCTCACCGGGAAACGGGCCCGGGGCCCCCAGCTGCACCCTCTCACGGTCACTCACGGAGTGGGGCTCTCGGGCAAGGCGCGGGCACAGCCACAGCACAGAGGACACTGCAGGAATCCTTATTAAAAATAGGACACGTTTATTATCTTGTCCCCAGGAGGGTGGTTTATCCAGAAACCAAGAAGAAAAATAACCAATCAGAATAAACTCAAAAAAATAAAGTGGGGGGAACAAAACCATCAACTACCAGGCAGCCAGGCCGGCAGCCCACCTGTGCCTCGGGAGGGTCCCCAAGGACCCGGGCCCGGCGGCCGACAGAATCGGGGGGTGGGGGGAGCCATCAGCTATGTCTTCATTACGAGCGCGAGAGAGGCGGCAGAGATACGCTGCTAGGTGAATATATATTTATATAATAAATCCGTAAGTTAATAAAGTAAATAGTAATTCTCTGAAGGTTTTTTTAGAGGTTTTTTTTTTGGTCTTTTCTGTTTTTTTTTTTTTTTTTTTTTTTTTTTTTTTTTGTAAATTTTTAGATTTTGTAGGTCTGTTGGGTTTTTGTTGTGTTTTTTGGTCCTTAGAAAATCTGAGCCGTGAGTCCAGACAAAGCAAGGCCAGGGTTGGTGCAGAGCGAGCCCGGCGTCCCCACCGGCGGCTCTGGCAGGGGGGCTGGAGCCCCTCTTCTCCTGGCAACTGTGAGTCAGGGGAGGGGAGGAGAGAAGGGAGCTGGGGGGCCCGGGGCCCTGGTCCCATCGAGTAGTGTGGCGCCCTCTGCGGGCAGCTCCGGGACAAGGCACGTGGGGCTCTGGCCCCGGTGCGGAGGGGCGGGCGGGGGGCCCTGCTGCCCTCTCCACGTGGGTTAGAAAGCACACCAGCACATGACACGTACTTCCCAGAGCACAGGTGCTGGCCCCGAGAGTCGCCCTCGTCCCACCCTGGTGGGCAGGGAGGCCCCTTCCGGCCAACCCAGAGAGAGAGAGGAGAGCCTGCCCCAGCCCCTCCCTGCCCACCCCCACCCCCCAAAAGGACTGACAGAGAGTGCTTTGCATAGATACAGAGTCAGAGGAGCGGGAGGGGGCTCCCCAGCCCCTCCTGGAGGCGTGAGGAGGGGTTCATCCGGGTCTCTCTGCAGGGGACCTCACAGGTCGCTCTCGCCGTACAGGGCTGTGGAGAAGGACTTGTAGTCGAGGGCGCCGGGCACGGCGTCGGGGCCCTGGTAGGGCGCCATGCGGGCGATGCAGTACTCGGCCTGGTCGGGGGGCAGCTCCCTCCGCAGCTCCTCGGCGGTGATGTAGTTCTAGGCGGGCAGGATGGGAGTCTGAGCCAGCCCAGCCCCGCGCCCACCCGGCCCTTCCCGGCCAGGGCTGGCTGGCTCACCTTGTCCCCGGCCAGGACCTTGAAGGAGGCGATGACCTGGTCGGCCGTGTCCGTGTCCGTGGTCTCCCTGGACATGAAGTCGATGAAGGCTTGGAAGGTCACGAGGCCGCTGTGGTTGGGGTCAACCACGCTCATGATGCGGTTGAACTCGGCGTCGCCCTGTGCAGGGGGCGGGGGAGGGCAGGGGGCAGTGAGCGGGGCCGGCCAGGGCAGCCAGGCCCGGACCGGCGCACGCGCACCGCCCCCTCGCGGCAGCCGGCCTCCAAGCGCCGGGCCGAGCAGGGTCCCTCTGCATGGGAGTGGGGAGTCGGGGTCTACTGCCCCTCGGCCCCAGGCTCACGAGTCAGCCCTGGAGGGTGGGGAAGAGAGAAAGAGAGAAAGAGACAGAGACGGGAGAGCGCCCCTCTCTCTGGAGACCTCTAGGGAAGGGGGCTTGGGAGTCGTCGGAGGGACCCCAGGCCGGCAGGTGCAGCGGAGGAGGAGAGGAGGAGACAAGGCCAAGCTGCTCCGGCGGAGGAGTGTCCCCGAGGACGGGAGGCAGTGAGGGCGGGAGGAGGCGAGGAGGAGGCGGGGGTTGGAGCAGTGGCTGGGGGAGGCAGAGGCCGCATACCAGGCTGTATCCTGTGGAGATAAGCAGAGCCCTGAAGTCATCGGAGTCCATGCTGCCTGTCTGCTTCTGCTCCCAGGACGCAGGCATAGCAGAGGAGGCCAGGCCCAGAGCAGGCAAGAGAGGCCGCCCCATGTGCACAGCGGGGAGACAGGAGGCCCCGAGAGACCAGGTAAGGGGGGGAGGTGTCCAGAGAGACACGAGGGCAGGGAGGAGGCAAGAGAGCCGGGAGATGGCACACACGATGGTAGGGGTGGAACGGGGAGAGGGAGGGGCAGGACAGAGAGAAGGAGAGAGAGAGAAGAGCAGTTAATGCCACAGTCCGTGGGCCCGGGTGCGCGTACCTGCCGGTCGTTCTCCACGTCGTAGCCCAGGCTGATGAGGCAGGCCTTGAACTCCTCAGGCCCCAGCGCCCCACCATGGTCCTGCCGGGGTGCGGGCGGACGGACAGACGGATGCGGGAGAGGGGCCGGGGCCACGTGCGGACCCCAGGGCAGGGGACACGCGGGGAGGGAAACACAGAGTTAGAGACGACGCAGACAGGGTGACGGCCAGGGACTGGTGGGGCAGAGGCAGTGGTGTGAAACTGAGGACCAAATCCCAGCACTGCGGGCCGTGAGGGGAAGCGCTCCTGTCCCAGGCTCCAGGGTGGGGGCGGGGACGGGAGCACCTGGCTGCCGCTCCCACCCACAGCAGGTGGCCTGGGTGCTGGGGGAATGGGGCACTGGAGGCCCTGATGCGGCTGCCAGGCCAAGGCTGAACTGCAAAGGCACCATGTGGGGGTCAGCTTGGCGGACAGGTGCGGGGCTGTGAGGACATAGCCTCAGGGGCAGGGGGCAGGACACCCCCAGCTCCCCACATCTCCTCCTGTGCACCCCACCCCAGCGGCAGGCCCCTGCCTGCCTGTGTGCAGAGCTGACAGAGGTGCAGACAGAGGGACGAGAGGGGAGGGAGACGGCAAGGTGCGCGGAGCGGCTCACCTTGTCGAAGTGGTTGAAGGAGGCCCGGAACTCCTGCATCTGCTCCTGGCTGATGCCCTTGGCGTCGCGGGTGAGGATCTGGTTCTCCACCTCGTTGATGGTGCGGGCGATGGTGGTGAGCAGCTGCTCCCAGCCCACGCGGATGTGCTGGGGGAGGGGAGAGGGCATGACATCCGGGGCGCGGGCCGAGGGCGGCTGCAACTGGGGGCTCCTTCTCGGGCGCCTGGTGCACCTCATCTTCACCCAGGGACGAGGCGCCAGCTCCGACAGAGGAGCAAGGGCCCGAGACACGCGTGCCAGGAGCCACAGGGGCAAGTCCAGAGGCCCCGCGTGGGTGTTTAACACTGGCTCTCTGGAGGAGAACGGGGAACCCCACTCCAGGGTTGACGTGTGTGGGCGGCGCAGTGGACATGGGCTCCACCATGGAGCCCCCTGCCCCTGGGGCTATGTCCTCACAGCCCCAGGGAGGCCCCGGGTGGGTGTTTAACACTGGCTCTCTGGAGGAGAGCGGGGAACCCCACTCCAGGGTTGATGTGTGTGGGCGGCGCAATGGACATGTGCTCCCCGTGGGTGGTCCCAAGCTCTGCCCAAGGCAGTGGCCGCCCCTCCAGGTCCCCTCGTGAGCCTGGCGTCCTCATGGGGGGGGCAGTGCTAGGGTGACTGAGGCTGCCAGGCTAACCCCAGTCCGTCCCCTCTGGACGGAGCAGCAGGCCGCGCCGCCCCGTACCTCCATGGTGTAGTTGGTGTGCTTGTTGTCGAAGATGAGCGCCTCCTGGATGAGCTGGTGCTGCTGCTCCAGCAGGTCCAGGTTGGGCTTGTAGTCCACGATGCTGCGCTCGTACTGCTTCAGGTGGCTCAGCTGGTCCTCCAGGGTGCCGTGCATCTCGATGGAGATGCGCCCGATCTCCTGCAGCGAGGCCCGCACCGCCGGGCTGAGGCCGGGCCCGCGGCCAGCGCCGGCCCCCCAGCCCCCCGCCCTGGAAGGGGCTGCTGGAGGCTGCAAAAGCAGTTGTACCGGGGGCTCATGCCCCTCCCAGCGCCCTGACCGGGCTGTGCGGCCAGGACAGTGACAGCCCAGACTGCAGGTGTGGAAACTGAGGCACCAGGAGGCCAATTCACCGCAGTAAGAGGTGGAGTCTGACTCTGACCCAGGCCTGGCTGACTTCAGGACCTGTGGCTCCTGTCCATGGGCACCCCACTCCCTGGGCTCTCCCAGCCCCCGACACTGTGGAGCTGGTGTGGACCCACAAGGTGAGCGGCCTGGCCCAGCCCGCTGAGCGTCTGCTCGGTCTCTCACCGTCAGCCCGGTGCTGGCACACAGGGAGTGGCGGCTGGAGCTGCTCAACAGTGAGACAGGCCCTCCCAGGCCTGGGCACGGCGAGCGGGCTCAGGCGGCCACACGGCCGTGCCCAGAGAGCGAGGTGCAGACCGTGCTTGCCGAAGGCACTGTCGGCCCCACTTCAGAGATGACGACCCTCAGAGCCGGGCCTGACTCGCGCTGTTTATCTCTGGGGGCACCGCTGACCCCCTGGTCCACCCAGTCGCTGGCGCTCCCCGGGGCCGCCCCGCCCTGCCCCGCCCCGCGCTCACCTCCATCTTGGTCTGGATCCAGGGCCCCACGACGTTGGCCTGGCTGGCGAACTGGCGGCGCAGGTGCTCATTGGACTGCTGCTTGCTCTGCTCCTCCAGGAGCGCGTGGTCCCGCTTCGGCACCAGCTGCTGCACCTGGGCGGGCGGGCACGCGCGGAAGGGTCAGGCGGCCCCTCGCCTGGCCGGCCCGGCCCAGGGCCCCGGCGCGGGGGCAGCCCACCTTCTCCCACTTGGAGTTGATGATCTGCGGGGTGACGGTGGTGTAGGGGTTGCTGCCCGACAGCTTGATGTGGTTGCTCTCGGCGATCCTCTGGGCCTCCTTGTGGATGGCCAGGATAGCCTCTCGCTCCCTGTCGGCATCCGGCAGGGTGGACTTGAACTGGTCGTGGGCGGAGATGAGGCCCTGGGGGGAGAGCGGGAGTGAGGGGCAGCCCAGCCCCCGAGGCGCCCCCGGGGGGCGGGGCGGGGCGAGGCGGGGCGGACCTCGATCTCCTCGATGGTGTGGACAATGAACATGTCCTGAAGGTCCTCCATGGCGCTCTCCATCCAGTTGTTGAAGGGAGCGGCCCGCTTGGCGTACTCCAGGTGCAGCTGGTCGATGGTCTCCAGCTGCTTCTCCGTTTTCTGGTTGTGGAGGGGCGACAGGGACGGCAGGTCAGCCAAGAGCCTGTCCCCCTGCGGGGGTGTCGGGGCCCCATGCCGCCCTCCTCACCTCCAGGGCCTCCCTGCGGCTGTGGGTCAGGGAGCCCAGGGCGTCCCACTGGTCGCAGATCTTCTGGCACCGGGTGTTGACGTTGTGGGAGTCGTAGTAATCCAGCTCGCTGTGGTGGGCACACGGCACTGAGACCCGGCGGGGCCAGCGGGCGAGAGCTGGGCCCCAGTCCCAGGGCTCCCAGGTGGCACAGGGTGGGAGGAAGGGGGGTGGGGAACACAGGGGCAGGGGCCTCCTTCTTCACACTCATTCATTCATTCATTCACCGTGCTGCCTATGGGCTGGCTGGGGAAGGGAGGAGAGGGGTCGGATCCCCAGACTGAAGTCTTCAACCAGGCTGGGCCCCGCTGCTCCCTTAAAGAACCCAGCAGCAGAGTGCAGTGGCTTGGGGTCTGTGGGTTTTTCACTCATGTGAACCTGACAGTCCCAACTCTGGAAGCTCAGTTTTCTCATCTGGGAAATGGGGATGGGCTATCGTGGGGATTCAGTTAAGCGGTACGTGTGTTAACAGTTTAACTTCAGTAGCTGTTAAGAAGAATATATGACCTGCAGCCTCACTCTAATTAATGAAGAAAAGAGTGAGTTGCTTTAAAATGGTTAACAGTCGTCCCGTCACCTCCCCTCAGCCACGGGTTCGGTTTTCCAGGATATGTGATCCATGCTCAACTGTGGTCTGAAAATATTTGACTCTCGAGAGACCACATTCACGTAACTTACTACAGCGCGTCACTTTACGAGTTCTACTTTATTATTAGCTCTGCTGTTCACCTCCACCTGCCCTGTCTATAAGTTTGACTGTATCACAGGCACGCATGTACGGGAGACTCTGTCCACAGGGTTCGGAACCACACGTGGTAAGTGGGCCTCCACCACACGGGGACCACTGTTTGAGTGACCGAGGCTCAGGGAGCACTGGCTGACACCGCCAGCACTCTCTGCCGCTCCCAGCCTCGGCCTGGGCTCCCAGGCTTGGATCCTCAGCAGGGACCCTGGGGCCTGGGAAGGAGCAGGCGAGCCAGCCATGGGTGGAAGGAGGACCCAGGGCCACAGTGACCTTGGGCAAGCCCCTGCTCTCTGTGCCGGGGTCTCCCTGGTGTAGCGGGGCCGCTGGGGGAATCCCATGAGCTGGCGCACAGACAGCCCTGGGAGCTACTGCCACTCCCACTGGTCAGTGCCACCAGGGCACCCACTGGGCTCACCCCAGGGGAGGGGACAGCACCCACACAGCCCTCTCCCTCTCTTCCCTCCAGGGCGCCGCTTCGGATAGCGCCTGCTCCTGGGGGTCATGGGTTCCGCGTGGCTGCTAACCAGCCCTGAGAAGTGGGCAGGCCTGGGACTCGCTCCAAGTCTGTTTCCTACCAACGCCGGGCCCCGCAGTGTCCCACCCCGTGCAGTCTGAGGGCACCTGTGTTAGGGGCCTTCTGCCCCTTGGCCTGGATGTGACAGCTTCAGGTCTCTGGGGGTTGCCTCAACCGTGCCAGATGGGGACACAGGTTCCAGCACCGTGAAGGCCTCCGGGTGAGCATGGGGAGGCTCCCAAAGCACCCGGGCTCCACCGGGCCCCACGGTGCGGGAACAGAGCCCGGGGGTGGCTGTGGGGGGAGGGAGAGTCTGCAGAAAGGGCGATCCAGCCTATTTCTGAGCAGACAGCTATTTTGGGAGCTCCGCCGCCCCTCTAGGGCTGTGGATTTTCCATGAAGTAATGGCCTGGGCCTCTCGCTCCCGGGCCCTCCCTGCCACTGGCCGCTGCACTGGCGGAACAAGGCCCCATTCACGGCCCCAGAGGCCCAGTGTACTAATTGTGTGCACAAGTTTATCTGACTGGGGTGGGGAAGGGAGGGAAGAGGAGCCGGCTGCCTGGGAGCTCTCACAGTAAACGTATTCTCAGCGAGGAAGAGGGAGGGGCGGGCTGAACAAAGGGCTCAGTGTGCAGCCAATCCCGCAGGGAGGGGCGGCTGGGAGCTGAGGCGGCTCGGAGGCCGGCTCCCCAGGGCCAGGGGCCTGCTTGGCCTGGAGCCCCCGTGACCCCTTAAAGCCCAAGGACCTGGGACAAGCAGCCCAAGACAGTCCCTGCCAGGGAATCCAGACCCCCGCTCGCTTCTCGTCCTGGCTTGAGAGGGCAGGCGAAAGGCCTTGTTCCACGGGGCAGCCCTGGGACGCGGGAGGGGAGGACGCAGGCCGCACGTACTTGAGCTCCTGGGCAATGGCCGCAATCTGCTCCACGCGGTCCTGGTGTGCGGCCAGGTCGCTCTCGAAGGCCTCGTGCTTGCGGATGAGAGCCCGGATGTCCGCCAGGGTGGCCGTCTCGTAGTCCCGCTGCCTCAGCATGGCCTCCTTCCCTGGGGGTGCAGCAGGAGTCTGAGGGCCGGGAATCCAAGCGAGGGATACGAACCCCACCTCCTTCCTCGCCAAGGATGGTGCCATGAAGGCTGCAACTTCTAGAATCTTCTTCCTTGCCTTCCAGAAATCTAAGCTCAGCTATGGACCTGGAAGACACTCTAGGGTTGGTGGGGTGAGACAGCTATCCCAACTCACCCCGTGTGCTAACCCTGGCATCCTGTATCGAGAGGAGACACCAAGAACAGGGCAGCAGCCCCCGGCTGGCAAGTTGGACACCCAGTTCTGGAGGGCGGTGACCTGGATGGACAGCTGGGTCTGCAGCCCTGGGCCCGAACTCCCGCTCTTGGGGACCAGTCCCCCAGGCGGTGGTCCTCACACTTTTGCACCCCCACAGTGTCTTGGGCTGTCTCTGGGAGCAGGGCAAAGCTGGTCGCCAGGCTCTGCCATCAGCCCTGGAACTGGCTAACCCACAGGCGGGGGAGGGGCCCCAGAGCCCCCAGGGGAAAGCAGCTCCCGAAGGGGCCCCGCTGCAGGAAAGCCTGGGGCTGCCTCGAGTGGCAGCTTGGGACCCCTGAGCTCTGCCCGCTCGGCCTGGTGAGCAGGCGCTCCCGGGCCGCTGCCTTCACTGTGGAGTGGGTGTTCTGTGGTCTCAGTGCGGCGGTATTTGAGGACAGGCGATGGGGGGAGGGCACAGAGCCAGGGCAGTCCTCACCCCAGCCCCTCCCAGTCTCATCTTCCAGTGACTACAGCCCCCCTCCCCCACAAGGCCTGGCGCTGGCAGGCAAGGGTGGGCAGCCTGGGAGACTCACTCCACTGGCCCTGCCGCCCCAGCCCCGAGGCAGGAAGCTTAACCACAAAGCAAGCTTGCAATTCCCTTCTCCAAATCGCTTTCTCCCAAGGGTGGGGACCAGAAATAGTAGGTTAGTCCTGTCTCTGCCTCAGCAGACTTTCAGCAGGGAGCTGCACCGAGAGGAACGGGGGGTGGGCGGGCTGCAAGCCGGGATTCAGGCGCAGGGGCAGCCGGGAAAGGCACGAGGGACTCGGTTATACCCCTAGACAATCCAAGCCCTCCAAGAAGCACCCACAAGCCCCTGCAGGCTGCAAGGGGAGCACAGAGTCACGGTGGCCCCTACCTGCTCCCGGGGCTGCCCTGTGTGGCCCCCAGGAGTGCAGGGTCCGGGCTGCCAGCCTGTCCTCCCATCTTGTGTGACTGTGGCTCAGAGGACAGAGGCTATGCGTACTGGGAACGAGGGTGGGCAGGCCTGCCTAGGGACTCGGGCTGATGTGAGGGGCAGGGCCAGATGCCAAAGCACCTGTCAGGGAGGTGGACACCAGGTGGGCAGGGGCGTGTGAGGCCCCAGTCAGGCCCCGGCTGGAGCGTGAGCTGACTTCTAAATGCTTTCAGGGGAAGACTGGCCCTGGTCATTCCCAGCGAGGGAGGGCTCGGCTTGGCCAGGACACCCACACCTCATGAAGCCCTAAGTGAGCCACTGAAGAGCCTGCATAGGCCAGAGGCCCTACAGGGAAGTCCAGAGGGATGACGGCCAGACGCAGCCCACAGATGACAGCGAGAGTCACAGGTGTGGCCACACCAATTACGTGCCCAGGGGCCCTCCACTGGCCTAAGAGCTGTCGGGTAGGGGCCTTGCCTCATGGGAAGCTGCACAGGCCCAAGAGATGTTTATTGACTGAATGGGTGAATAAATGAACAAATGAATTAAACGCCAGCTCTCCTCCCCCCTACAGGATGGCATTGGGCCAACACCCCTCGCATGGGTGCCACCCCTGGGGGGCCTGAGCAGGCGCCTGCACCCGTTCTCATCCTCTGCGTCCTTCCCTGGCACACAGGCCTCGGGGTATCACTTAGGTCTGGCAGCTGCCGTGGGAGGTACAGGGCAAGGCGGGCTGGGATCCCCGGCTCAGCAGTCCCAGGCCGGCACACTCACGCGGTCGGGGGCCGGAGCGGGCCCCAGGGGCTCAGAGCGCTGTGACGGGAGAGGAGGTGGCAGGAGTGCTGGCCAGAGGCTGTCCCAGGGACGCTCTCCTACTTTCCCAGATGCTGGCGGTTTTTCGGAGGCTTTTGGACCCTGGGTTTCTAGACTCGGTCATGGTGTGGCTCCCAGTGAAGGGCCAGGGGAGTGATGGAATTCTACATCCTGGGCCCTGCAGGGGACTAGGCCCCTGGGAAGGAGGCTCGGGGTGGCCAGGGTGGGCCACGTGAAGTCAGGGAGCTTGGCCTCAGGTCGGGCAGCAGCGGCAGGAGGCGGCTCCCTGGCCTTATTGCTCAGGAGTGTGCTGGTGACCACAGATCCACCAGCACAGACTCTGCGGGGTGCAGCAGAGGGGAGGCCGACTGGACACAGGGGGACAGCGAGGGGACGGCCTGTCCACACACCCACCCTGCACTGGGATGGAACCATCCTCAGGAAAGCCAAGGCCCAGGGGACAGGCACAGGGTCACCCCCTAAGACTGAATGGGGCCCAACTGTGTTCCTGGAGGATGCAGCAAGGGGCCCACCTGGGAGTAACATCCCCAGGCCAGAGCAGACCTGGCCCCCGACTGCTCCTCGCTGCCTGCGGCACGCCCCGAGCAGCGGACAGCTGGGACACGGGAGGGGCTCTGTGCGTGCTCACGCGTGCCTGGGCCAGGGACCGCGCCCTACCGTCGGTCCAGGCCTCGTGGATGGAGGCCTTCTGCCGGAACTTCTCGGCCAGGTGGTCGAGCCGCTCCAGCCTGCGGATCTCGTTCAGCAGCCACTCCTCGTAGCCCTTCTCGGCCTGCTCCAGGTGCTGCCAGCCGTTGTTGATGTCCTGTGGGGACAGGGGGGAAGGGGGACACCAGCGGGTGGATGTGTACGCAGTCCGGGAAACGGGCTGGGGTCCGCTCTGTGTCCTGCTCTGTAGGCGCCCAGACAGGACCCAGCGCGCGGCAGATGCAATCGGTTCGGTGTTAATGAATGAATACCACCGACTGCACAATGGAAGCCCAAAGGTAAGCGTCCAGGTGCTGTCCTGCTCTAAGCACTTGGTGATCTGCAGTCAGGCGGTTCAAATTCAAACCGTGGTACGGCGGGGCTTAAACTCCTGGGTGTAAGGCAGGGGCGTGACGGGCGGGGGAAGAGTCACATAGCGTACACCCTTCACCCACCCCTGCAGCCCACCCGCCGTGCCGGCCGAACTCTGCTCTGCGAGAGCTGCGAGTGTCCTCTGCTCCTCCCAGCGACTCCCCGAGGGCCCCGGCCCGGCCACTCACCGACACCATCCTGCCCTCGGAGGGCATGAAGGCGGGCCGGTTGCTGAGGCGCAGCTTGGTCTGCAGCGTGTTGAAGTTGATCTCCAGCTGGCACTTCTCCTGCACCTTGGGCGGCTTGTGCACGCGCCGGTAGTCCCGGAAGTCCTCCAGCTTCTGCTGCATCTCCTGGATCGTCTTCTGGGGCACGCGATCCTCCAGCCAGGGGATGGTGCGCCGGATCCACTCCAGGAGCTGCGGGCGCAAGGAAGCAGCGGGGTGGCCTCGGAGCCCACGAGATTGCTCCTCGGGGCTGCTCCCGCTTGCCAGCCCCACGTCCCCGTGCGTCCTGTCATCCGGAATTCTGGGAATACGTGCCCCCCGGGAGCCCTGTGCTGCCCTCGGCTCTCAGCCTTCCTCCTCCGCAGACCTAAGCGGTGGCTGCCCTGGAAGGTCCTCCACCACCTCCACACTGAGAGCCTGGCTCTGCCCAGTTCCCGTACTGCAGGGGCCGCCCGGCACACCTGGCCCACTGTCGGGTGGCCAGCACGGGCACAGGGCCTGGGATATACAAAAGGTGGCAAGTGAAACTGAACAAGGAGTGACTCAGATTGGTGGGGAGAGGAGGGTACAAGCACACTGGACACTCCAGCGCCCACCCTGGCAGAGTGAGAGGCGAGGACGAGAGGACCTATGTGTGTGCACATCTTGATTGGTGTCAGAGACAATGGTGGAAACAGACCCGGGCTGTCTTTCTAAAATGTCTTTACTTGGGCAAAATAAGAAGTTGGCCACCCTAGGTTGGTTCCCCAAAGGCTTTTCAAATTTTCCTGGACTGGGAAATCTCAGAGTCTGGGAACCAGTGGTTCCGGAACAGCCATCACACTGCTGCTCTTCGAGAGCCTGAACTGTTTGGACATTTTAAAAATGAGGAGACTCCAGGGGAGGTGCTAACCAGCACACCGCCCAGCTCCTGGGCATGCCTGGCCCTTTCTGGAAGGGGTGCTCTGAGGTTCCCGCCGTGGGCTGTTCCTGCCTGCGAAGCAAGCACCGGCCCAGGGCCCGCCGGCACCGACTTCAGCACCGCCCCTGGCCTCTGCACCTTTCGGATGCGGTGGCTCCAGGGCAGGGCATGGGAATGGGGTGTTGCAGCAGCTCCCAGGCGGCTCTAGAGCAGTGAGGTGTCAGGACTTCCTTGGGCCTCGTGGTAGGAATGCTGGGCTTGTATGGTGCCCACCAGTCTGACCTCGGCCTCGTGAGGCCAACCTGGAAGGTCACACTGGCTTGGTCCAACTCCATGGTGCACGATGCCACGGCCCCTTCTAGGTGGTCCCACTGCCCCAGCTTCCTGGCCAGGGCTAACCAGCAGGAGAGGCACGGGGCACGAGTGGGCACTCACATCGCTGGCCAGCCGCTCGTAATCCTCCATCAGGTGCTCGTTCTCCTGGTTGACAGCCAGCACCTTGCAGATCCGGTTGGCGGCAGTCTCAGCCTGGGGTGGGGGAAGCACACACGGTTAGGGCCGGTGGGGGCTGGTGACCCCCCCCTCCTGACAGGCCCGTCCCTGGAAAGCGGCCCCTCTGTGGCCCACACAGTCCCTGAGGAGGGGCAGGAGAGGAAAAGCAGCTGTAGCAAGGTGGGCCCTGGGTGCTGCCTGTGAAATGCCCCAGCCCGGAGAGCAGGGCCCCTGGGCACGCTGCGAGGGCCTGGGGGCCTCCCGCTGGGAGAGCACACCCTCCGGAGCCCACAGAGGGGAGGACCGGGTGCGGCTGGGCGGGATCATCTGGAAGGAAGCCCTCTGTCAGGGAAGGCAGCTGCCGTGAGGCCAAGAGGAAGCCGGGGGTCGGTGCACAGGCAGTGCACGCCTGGCCCCCTTCCTCCTCTCCCCTCACAGGCGGGCAGAAGGGAGCCGGGGAGCCAGCTTCTGACCTAGAACTGTAGGAGCCTGTCCTGCTGCATCCTGCTGGGGCACAGGGTGAGGCGGGGAGGGGGCACACGGGGCGAGGAGACAGCAGGTACCTTTCAGGAGCACAGAAAGGGTCCAAGAGGAGGAGTTGAAACAGCAACAGAACAGGAACAGAAATAGTGAGGAGGGTCTACAGAGTGACGGGGAAGGAAAACAGAGAGCTCGGGAGGCGGCTCCGAGCCAGACTGCAGCGGGGACAGCTGGGGAGGGGCACGGGCAGCTGTGGTCGCCCACACACACCCTGCAGGCCCCGGGCAACACTGCACAGGCAGGAGGGTCGCAAGGCCTCGGCCAAAGAGCACCAGCCCCAAATGTGCGAGGAGGGGCGGGCCTGGGGGCCGAACCCTGACCGCCAGCTTAGCCGAGACAACAGATGCCCCAGGCTCGAACCCGCTCGGCGGCTACAGGGGCCGCTGTTCTGGGCCTGGTGTGTTTTAGGTGCTGTCAGTGAGTGGGTGGTTAAAGCAGTGACGATGAGTGAACTACCAGCAGCCAGCAGGGGTACTCGGCGCTGGGCGGGGCTCACCCGGGCGCAGGAAACACCACTGTGCGGGCCCAAGAGCCTGCTGGGGTCTCGGGGAGACGGCCGGGAGTCAGGGGACACAGAGGGCCCAGCGCTCTCGCGGGCAGGCAGGCAGGCTCCTGACTGCCTGGCCGTTACTGCCTCCCTCGAAGGAGAGACCAGGGACAGAGGGGAGAGGGGTGGGGTCTGCGGAGCCTCCAGCTGCTCCCACCTGGGCTTTCCTGCTGGCCCCTCTCCCCAGGCCCCTCAGGGCCTCCTCGGCCTTGAGCAGGCCCAAGCACAGGAGCACCGCAGGTGGAAGAGGACGGAGGGTCAAGCAGGGGCAGGAGGCCGGCGTGGGGCCCCCAGGGGAGTCCACGGCACGTGTGCTGTGAGTGCACTGACCACCTGGCCAGGGCGCGGGGCAGGGCAACCGCACTGGCCCCAAGAGCTCCCCAGCCACCGACGGGGCACTCACTGTGCCAGGCCTCGTTCCAAGCCCTCTGCCCACGGGAGCTCTTCTCTTCCCAGAACCGTCCCAAGGGGCGGCAGGGTGGGCACAGGCCCTCAGGACACGCCCCCGCTGGACCTGGCTCGCTCTAGGGCAGCTGGCAGAAGGCAGCATGCACGGTCCATCCTCGCTCTGCACTCCAACTTCCCCTCTCCAACAGGGCCACCACGCCTGGCCCGCCCTGGGGTGCGCAGGGGCTCTGAGCGCCTGTGCGTGGGAAGTCCTCAGACAGTGCCTACCGTGCAGGGGGCGCTCAGCGGGTGAGAAGGATTCCTTGTTCTCTTTGCCCGCTGGCCAACCAATACCAAGATCAAGTTGACAGGAACATGCCTCGGGAGGCAACGGACGTGCCGCGGCCTCCGTGTGGCAGCCCAGGGCCTCTCCCAGGAGCTGCAGGGGCAGCGTGAGGGGGGCCAGGCTCAGGAGAGCCACGGGAAATGAGTGCCCATGACTGCTCGGCCTGCATCAGCTCAGCTTCTGGAGGAGATAGGGCTGGCAGAGCCGGGTCAGCAGGTGCAACCCCAGAGGAGGCCAACCCGCTCGGGCAGAGCCCTTCCTGGGAGTCTGGGACGACACAGAGCTGTCAGGAAGAGTGGGAGGGCCTGTGCTCCCTGGACAGAGGGCACGGCAGGCAGGCGGCTCTCCTGCGGGCCATAAAAGAGCGCGGTGGGACAGCCAAGGGGTCCGGTCCCTGCTCTGCCGCCCACTGAAATCCTGAGCTTCCACTTCTTCTTCTGTCCCCCTCACACGGTGGGCTGCACTCAAAGGGAGCATCCTGCACTGGCCAAGCCAAACCACGGGAGGCGCCGGGCCCCTCCGGCCACGGGGAACCTGTGCGAGGAGGTCTTTCCAAGCCAGCACTCAGCACACATGGCCCCCAGCCTGGCCAGGGCTCCCACCACAGATGGAGATGGTGAGGACAGGAGGTGGCAGTGAGGGCAGGACTGCAGCGAGGAGCGCCCCCGCCAGCTCACCTTCTGAGCCCCCGAGAAAGCGTGGTAGAAGCAGGACACGTAAGTCATGATGGCCTTCTCATCTGGCCTCAGAGTGCCCACAATATCTGCGCAGAGAGAGAGAGGGAGAGAGAGAGAGGCAGGATAGAGTGAAAGGCGCAGGCAGTGGCCGGGTGGCCAAGGCTCATGCAGGAGGAACGGTGCTTGCTCTCGACTGGAAGCCAGGCCCCAGCCCAGGCCCGTGTGGGTGGGGAGCCCCTCCTACCAGGCCTACGGGCGAGACAGACTCACCGCGGCCCTTACCAAGGAAGCCACGCTGCGCCTGGAGGATGCAAACGCTGACTGAGCTGAGAACCTAAGCAGGCCCTCGTCAACGCGTCATCACGTCTGAGCTTTGTTCCGAGGCCTTCAGAACACAGACGGTTCACCCCAGACAGGAGTCCTGCAGGCACGGCCTGCTCCGGCCGCTGGTTCCTCACCTCTTCTGCTCCCCCTCAGCCCTCTCCAGGCCTCCCTCCAGGCAGCCAAGCCTGTGCCTGCCTCGGGGCCTTTGCACCTGCTTCACCCTCTGCCGCAGGTTTCACCTGGCAGCGCCTGCTCACCACGCCAGGTGCTCGCTCCCATCACCCCTGCCGCGGCCGCCCCCTGCTGCCGCTGTCTCACCACCCGATAGCACTGTCCGGACTCGCCTGTCCTGTTTCTCCCCCTTGGACGTCACCCCCCCTGAGAGCAGAGGCCTGGCCTGACTCAGTCACTACTGCATCCCAGTGCCTGGCACAGAGCCTGGCACGGACCAGGTACTCAGCAAACACCGTGGCACACCAGAAAAGCTGCGAGGACAGGGAGTGCTGGGCGGGGGGTGGCTTCCAGTCAGAGAGAGGCCACTGCTGGCTGCAAGAGAAATGAGGTGAGCATGGGCGGCGAGAGACGGCAGCGGCTTGGGCAGTGGCGGCGAGGAGGGCCTGCCTGGCCCTGCCCGGTACCTTCTGCGCTCCCGAAAAGGCATGGTAGAAGCTGGACACATAGGTCATTATGGCCTTCTCGTCGGGCCGGGCCGTGTTCACGATGTCTGCAAGTGAACGACAAGGGTTAAACTGCCCGAGCAGGGGCGAGGGGCTGCCGCGTGGTGGGATCCACAGGCTGACCGAGCCCCGGCCATGCCCACGGCAGGACCCTCGGGGCCGACTCAGGGACACCAGGGGACACGGTGGGCTCGGCCGTGCCCTCAGCCCCTCCTTCCCCCATGGTCTCTGGAAAGGACAAGGCTGTGGGAACCAGACTGAAAGGAGGCCACTTCCTCTCTCTGAGAGTGGCCTCAAGGGGCTACAGGACAGTCAAGTCCAAGGGCCGAAAGAGGCCAGAGCCATGGTCCTGGCTGGGGGTGGTGGATGGCTGGGAAACGGAGCAAAGCCGGAAAAGGAAAAAACAAAATCTTCCCGTTTGGTGGCTCCAGGCTCACGCCTGCTGCAAGCAGGGAGGGGGGACGCCCGCGCGGTGTGCAGGAAGCCGGAGCCAGCCCTCCACGGCCACCTGGCCCCTCCCCTGAGGCCTGGCCTGACATGCGGCCCCCGGAGAGACGATCCCTCACGCCCTCCCCTCCCCTCCCCTCCGTCCCTGAAGACACGTGGCTGGCTCAGGCTGCCCAGCTCTGGCTCCCAGGGCGACACAACTGTCCGTCCCAGTTCACCCAGACTTGCTCAGCCCTCCCAACTCCCTGAGGATGCCCCAAAGCCCTCACGAGCCAACAGTCCCCCTCCCAGAGCCAGATCCGGGCGGGCCAGGCCCCCAGGACACGTGACTGTACGAACGGCCGCACTTACCTTCCGCATCCAGCATCTTGGGGATGTCGAGGTATTTCTCGGCCACTTCAAAGGCATTATTCAGGTTGGTGACGGGGTCATCCTTGGGGAGGGCAGGTGGGAGACAGAGGAAGTCTGTCAGGGTCAGGTCACAGGAGCAGAAAGGCCCGGGGGCACCTGGGAGGGTTTCTCAGCCCACTCTCAGCAGGAGGACAGAGTGTGCACCCTGGAGAAACTCAGTTCCTACCCAAAGGAACACCCCCAAAACCTCTGTGGGGCAAACACAGGCTGTCCCTGTTGTAGATACACAGGTGCACTCTTCTCCAATCCCCGGTCACCCACAGACCTCAGGCCAGGCCCCTGCCCTGAAACCTGGCAGGTGTGGTCCAGACCCAAGAAGGGCCCCTCAAGTGTCCTTTCACGCTGTCCCAGTGCCCTCAGGGACTCCCTGCTGCTCCAGGACTGAAGGCCCTGCACCATGACCCTCCTCACTCCCCTGTACTGACTGCCAGCCAGAGCCCAATTCACATTCTCTGGTGGGAACAGGCTGGTGCCTCCCTCCTGAATGCCATCCGCCCCACCCACCCCACCCCACCCCACCGCCCCCAGCTCAGCGGCACCACCCTTCCTCTCAGTGCCTACTGACCTATGCCCCACCCCAACGCCCAGCAGCCCAAGTTCATGTGCGTGGCCTTGTGTGGCTGGTCTGCGTTGTACACCACTGTCCTTCCTACCCCCTGAGGCTGGGAGCCCCTGGAGGCCAGGGCCTGGGTCGTACACGCTTTGTACACAGGCAGATTAGAAGGCGACCCTGGGGGCTGGCGTTGTGGTGCAGCAGGTTCAACAGCCACCTGTGATGCCGGCTCCCTGAATCAGAATGCCGGTTCAGGTTCCACCTGTTCTGTTCCCCACTCCAGCTCTCTAATGAACCCGGGAAGGAAGTAGAGGATGGCCCAGGTGCTTGGGCCCCTGCCATCCATGGGGGAGACCAGGATAGCTGCTGCAGGCATCGGAGCGAACCAGCAGATGGAAGCTGCTCTCTGCCTTTCAAATCAATCAATCAATCTTGGTAAAAGAAGAAGAGGCCACTGCAGGGGAAGTGCTGGCCATCCTCTGTAGGAATGGTCTACAATTCCTTACCCTCCAGAATGCTCAAGGTCACGGAAGGGGCGCTGGAAGGCACAGCTGGCCAGCCCTCAAATAACCCTGGCTGCTTGCAATGCCAGAGAGGGGGATAGGACGGCCCCAGGGGGAATAAGGCCAAGAGTCTGCTGCCACGCCGGGGGCCTGGGCAAAGCTGGCAGGGGGCTCTCCCAGCCTGAGCATCTGGCCAGAGAATCCAACTCTGGAGGCTGGTGAGTCTCGGCTTTGGGGATGACGACCCAGAGACAGCCCATCAGACCTGGGGGCCTGAGGGCTGCCAGGGAAAGTGCGAGATGCATACCTTTCTCAGCTTGTCATACTCGATCAGCTCTGGCCTGTGCCGGTGGATCAGGGCATTGAAGGCGAGACCATCCTTCCAGCTGGGGGTGCAACACAGAGGTCGTGAGGAGGGCACTCGCTGTTGGGGGAGTGCTAACCGGCCCCGGGCACCTGCAGCAACTCCCGCTTACTAAGGGTTGGTGTGTGCCGGGAGCTACAGGGACACAGCACGGCACAGTGGCTACGAGAGTGACCTCCGGAGCCAGACTGGGGTCAGAGCCTGCTCTGCCACCTTCTGACAGAGTGATCATAAGCAAGCCACAAAATCTGCTATCTCAGTTTCTACGCCTATCAAATGGGGACAGCAGGGGCAGGCTCTGGGTATAGTGTTTAAGTCACTGCTCAGGACACATGCATTCCACACTGGACTACCTGGGTTCAAGTCCTGGCTCCGCTCCCAGTCTCAGCTTCCTGCTAAGGGGCACCTTGGGAGGCAGCAGGTGATGGCTCAAGTAGCTGGGTCCCTGCCCCCGTCGCGGGAGACCTGGGCTGAGTTCTCAGCTCCCGGCTTCAGGGTGGCCCAGTCTTGGTTGTATGGGCGTTTGGGGAGTGAGCCAGCGATGGGATCTCTCTCTCTCTCTCTCTGCTGGAGGCATGGGGGTGGGTTGGGGAGGGGGACAGTAACAACACCACCTCATAGGGTTGCTGTGGGAATTGAATGAGGAAACACTTGACAGTGCCTGACAGGTGACCAGTCCTTTACATCTGTCACTGGCCCACTGCAGGGGGCCAGTGCCTGGGCCGTGGGAACACCACCCCTCACTAGTCTGACCCAGGCAGGGCAGGCCACAGGCTGGCTCAATGCCCGAACATTGCTTGGCCTGAGGGTCTCTGAGGAAAAACTCCCCCAAGATCACGTGTGAAACTGGCTCCATTCTCTACTCTGAGACGCCCCAAAGACTGGCTGCTTCTGGGGCCAAGCTCAGTGCCACCTCCCGAGAGAGGCCTCAGGTAAATTGCTTTCTGACCCTTGTCCTATCTGCTTGCCTGAGCGGCACTTCCCACGCCTGGGCTGGGTTAGCTGCACCCCGCCAAGTGCTGGGCCCCCCCACTGCAGGGGCGTCCCTAGGACAGGCCCTCCCCAGAGAGTCACTGGCTGACTAAACAAACGGGTGATGAGTGTAGAGAGAACCAGCCTGCCGCTGGCTGGAAAAGGGAGGGGACACACGGGGAAGAGCCGTCGAGGGGAGACCATGAGCTGCTAACCACTCAGCAGCACTGGGCCCCGGAGGCCCTGTCCCTGACACCACAGGGCCACCCCCGGCCGCCCAGCGCCACCTCCTGCTGCACTCGGGACCTCGTGGGTGCGGACGCTGCTCGCCTCAGTGGCGGCGGGGGCGCAGGTCAGGGTCCTCTTAGGGAGGGCAGGTCCACGGCAGGGCTAAGTGTCGCTGGTGCTGGCAGCCACAGAGCGCACCCCCCCAGCGCGGCCGTCAGCAGTGACTCTAAGCTCCGGCCCCTGGTGAGATGTCAGAAGGAGGGGATCTGTGGTTCTCCTGGAAGTCGCCTCACATTAGGAGGGAGGAGATGCTACGAGGCCTGGCGGAGCCTTGGACAGCCCAGGACAGCGAGGCAGAGAGCACAGGGGCAGAGACTCCCCGAGGGCTGGCGTCACAGACCGACACCAGCACAGACATAAAGCAGCATCGCGGGCCACGCTGGGGGTGAGGTGGGCCAGAGGCGTGCAGCCACGGCTTACCTGATGTGGAAGTTCTGCACGTTGACGTTCTTGTACGGCGCCGTCTTTCTCTGGCACCACAGAAGGAGCCCCTCCTTGGCAGAGGTCTCTGGAGAACACAGGCGGACGGTGAGCACCAGCTCAAACACGCATGATCAGGCTGGGCTCAACCCAAACCCAGACGTGGCGGCGGCGGCAGTGACAGCACCGCTCCCGACCGGACACGCACGCCCTCTGCCAGCCCCCTGCCCGGGGCACCCCGGCAAGTGGCTGTGTTGGCTCCTGAACCCGTGCCACATCTCTGGCCACAAAGCCAGTGACTTTACCCACCAGAACACGCTGTCAAACAAGCCACTGACACTGGCCTTGGTCCCTTGTGAGCAACGTAAGTAACCCGTGGGCAGGAGCACTGGGCCTGGCCTTCTCAGGGTCTCCCAGCACTGGCCATGGCTTCGGGGAGTAGAACAGAGAGGCCAGGAGGCCCTGTGTTCCCCATGGCTGTCCCCTTAGGCTGAGAGTTCTACAAGGACAGGAAACATATCTGTTCTGGTCATGACAATGACCTGGCACCCAGGAGACCACTCCACGTACTCAAAGTCCACAGAGGCGGCCAGCGCCGCGGCTCACTTGGCTAATCTTCCACCTGTGGCACCAGCACCCCAGGTTCTAGTCCTGGTTGGGGCGCCGGATTCTGTCCCGGTTGCCCCTCTTCCAGTCCAGTTCTCTGCTGTGGCCCGGGAGGGCAGTGGAGGATGGCCCAAGTGCTTGGGCCCTGCACCCGCATGGGAGACCAGGAGGAAGCGGCCATTTAGGGGGTGAACCAATGGAAAGGAAGACCTTTCTCTCTGTCTTTCTCTCTCTCTCTGTCTAAATCTGCCTGTCAAAAACAAAAACAAAACAAAGTCCACAGAGGCAAAGGTCCAAGGGTGGGGATGGGGGTGGCATTTGGCACAGTGGTTAAGATGCCACCTGGGATGCCCACACGCCATGTCATAGTGCCTCGGTCCAAGACCTGTCCTGCTCTCAGTTCCAGCTTCCTGCTAATGTGTGTCCTGGGAAGCAGCAGGCGATGGCCCCCAAGTCAAGGGGTCTCTGCTATCCACACGAGAGACCCGGATGGAATTCCTGGTTCCTGGCCTTAGCCAGACCCAGCTCAAATTGTTGCAGGCATTTGGGGAGTAAACCAGAGAATGGGAGATCTCTTTTAGGTAAATTAATAACTAAATGGCTCAAGGGTGGGGGTGTTGAGTGAAAGGAGAATGGGTCACTGGTTGGCTCATGACTCAGGTTACCAGGCCGTAACATGGGCCAGCCATCCTCACTCGCTTCCCGAGGGGATGGTGAGGTCTGTGAGGTGGACACCGAGAGTGCAGGTGCCCCGGATGGACACCTGAGCCCCGGGGCAGGAAAGGCCATGAGGGCGGGGTTGGCTGGGGCACCGCTCTCCATCCGCAGCCTGATCCCGCGGAGGGCCAGACCCTGGGGGCTGCTCCCCCCAACGGGAGCAGAACTTGAGGCCGTCTCTAACGCGCCCGGCTCGTGGGGCAGGCTTGGGAGGAGGCGGCTCTCCGCGCATCTCTCACCTTCCACAGAGATATCCTGGATGGCGAACCTCAGGATGATGGTCCAGATCATGCCCAGGGTCATCTTCGCATTGCCGTCCACGATCTCTGCGGGGGGGGGGGGGGGGGCAAGGTGGTTACCCCACGGGCAGAGTCCTCGGCTCGCTCCGGAGGCAGCCTCCGGCCCCACCCACACGCTGGCTCACCCACTCCTGGGGACACACGGGTACCCAAGCCGCCTCAGCTGGGCCTCAGGCTGCCGGTCACGAGGGCCCCTGCCCACCAGTATCCGGCGGCTCAGTCTCAAAGGACTGCTCCTCCCAAGGTCCGAGCCGGGAGCCTGAGCCACGGCACACAGCTCCCTCCTGGCCCTCACATGTCGTGCCCTGTGTGCCGCGCCAGCCTCAGGCAGTGACCGTGCACGCACCACTGTCCACTGAGGATGTCCCCCTCCTTCCCACCCACTGCGCCCCACGGCCCACCCCTCACCTCCCCCAGTGTGCGAGGTGGCTCCCTCTCTGTACCCCACACAGCAGCCGGTGCGGGGCTGGGCGGGGGCCCGGGGGAGCCCTTGATAAAAGTGCATGAGATTCGTGTCCCTCCCCTGCTTAAGGCTCACAGGAAACTCGAGTCCCTTGGTCCAGCTCCGCTGCCCTCCTCTAAATCCCACGCTGCGTCCAGCAGGGACACTGGGCCCTGCTTGCCCACCCACAAAGTGCTCCCACCCCTTCCTGCAGGCCCTTGCTAGTGCCACCTCTCAGAAAAGGCTTCCCTAACTCCGTGACCCACCTCTCCCTGCCCTGGCTCGGCTCTCTAAATGCCTCTGCTGCCCCGCATCTTAAACCACCAGGTACAGGGCAAACAGCAACGCAGCATCCTTAGAAGACCGGGCGCGGGCACTCAAGGAGAGGGGCTAGATGAAGGGGCAAGTTCCAAGACATATATGAAGGACAGTGCAGGGGCCTCACTGACCCCTGGGAACAGGAAACTCCAGGGGGACTTGGCTTGGAGGAAGAGATCTCCCCATTCCCCCAGGGACACTGGCCGAGCAGACAGGGGCTCTGTTCGCCACGCTGGAGAAGCTGCAGAGGTAGAGCCCCTGGCCTAGAGCTGAGGGCAGCTCCTGGCTCTTGGGATGAGAGAAAATGCCCGGCCTGGGGCTGAGAGGCCAAAGAGGGCCCTGGCGTCTGCCCTGTCCCACCCCAGGGTTCAGGGCTCCAGGCCTGGACACGGCAGAGCTCCCTGCCCATTCCTGGCGCAGGGCACAAGAGTAATTTCCCTGGGGAAATCTGCAGGCCTTCCAGGGCACAAGCTGGAGGCGAGGCTGTGGCTCCGGCTCCACCGCCGGCCCAGCCCAGCCAGCTACAGGTGCACGCTGGCCACAGAGGGCTGAGGCTCCTGAGAGCGGAGGACGCACGGCTTCTCCCGTGATACATCCATTGGCTGCTTCTCTGACTGGCAGCTGCACCTGCGGCTCTGTAGCCTCTCCTACGCCCCACAGGGAGGCCCACAGCATGGCCGGAACACGTGGAGCAGCAGGGTTGGGGGGTGAGGGTGCTCAGGTGTTCCAAAGCCCGAGGAATGTCTCCGCCAGGCTGCCCTCGGCTCCATCCCAACGCTCGATGGCCACAGAGACTGGGAGCGAGTCCGTTTGGGCATGAACAGAGAACATTCTTGGACCGAGTTTTTCTCCAAATGGAAACCGACGACTGCCATGGGTCTCTCCTCTAACCCCGTCTGTATTTACAAGACCGGCATTTGCGCAAAATAAATGCAGCTGTGAGCGGCAGAAGGCTGGCGCAGAGCCCAGAGGAAAGATCCGTGCAAGGACAGAAAATCTCAGGGCCTGATGGAATTTGGGGGTTTTGACTTTTTTTAAACAAACACCCAACCACCTCGACCGTGGCATGCAAGGCTTGGCACCCCTCCGTGGTGAGGTCCCGGGCCGGGGCAGGGCCTTGGAACTCGGCACACACATCCCGGCCTGAAGTCTTGGCCAAGCTCTAGGAGCCCTGTCATTAGCAGCAATTAGTTTTCTTTGTTTTTCTCAAAGCTGGGACAACATGGCTGTCAGGGCAAGAATCGGCTCTGACTGAAGAGCAAGGCCGTGAGCCCAGGCCGGGGTGGGGGTGGGGGGCGCCTTGGGGCTCCATCGGGCCTCACTGTGTCTCCAAAACCTTGTCCAGGGCCCGCTGCCCTGGTGGGAGGGCCTGGGCATTCACAGAGGGTCCTGGGTGGCCAGGGGCCCTGACACGGCCTTGGCAGTCCCCTTCACTCCTCCACGCTCCTTCCTGCCCACCCAGGCCAGGCAGGGGCGCAGGGGCCCAGTGCTCCCAGCACAGAGGCCACATCACACGTCTGCCAGAGGGGAGGACGCATGGCGCTGACTGGGGTCTGGTTCAAGTTACAGCCATTCCCCACTGCCTCCCCTCCCACCCCCCACAGCAGCAGCCTGCCCCTCGCGGGTGCGGGCACTGTCCTCCCAGATCTGGGCTGAGCCCGCCTGCAGTTTTCTGTGGGTGGGGAGGAGCCTGTGGGCCCCACGTCATCCCCAGGGCAGCCACTGTGGTCCCTGCTGCACACGCAGTAGGATTCTAGGCTCCCTGAGCGGTGCATCACCAACAAAACCACCTGTGTGTGTGAGACGCAGACGCTGTGCCTCAGCCCGGGGCCCGCACGGGGCGACCCCGGCTGCGCGGCTCCGGCTCACCTTCCGCCCCGATGGAGACCAGCTTGACCCCTTTGCTGGCGATGAAGTCCAGCGCTTTGTTCACGTTGTTGATCTTATGCACTCTCATCTTCCCACGCTCCGGCTTGGGGAGCCGCTCCCCTGGGAGACACGGGCGCAGAATAAAGCCGGGCACTGACAGAGAGGGACAGACACGGGGGCGGCCCCTCCACCCTCCGCACCAGGCCCCGGCCGGCCCCCAGGCCGCTCCGCGGGAGCCTCACCCGAAATGACCTCGAGCAGGAGCATGAGCTTGAGCCCGTCGCGGAAGTCCTCGTCGATGTTCTCGATCTGCGTGCCGGCCTTGCGCAGGTGGGAGTTGCACCAGGCTGTGAAGGTCTGGGAAGCAGAGCAGAGGGCGGCACACAGGGGGAACCTGGCTGTTGGAACCGACCAAAAGCACCCACGGGGTCACAGCAGCCACCTCGGGGCGCTCGCTCACGGCCGGGCCCTGGTCACCGCCCTCTGATCCACATTATTTTTCTTTTTTTTTTTTTGACAGGCAGAGTGGACAGTGAGAGAGAGAGAGAGAAAGGTCTTCCTTTGCCGTTGGTTCACCCTCCAATGGCCGCCGCGGCCGGCGCGCTGCGGCCGGCGCACCACGCTGATCCGATGGCAGGAGCCAGGTGCTTCTCCTGGTCTCCCATGGGGTGCAGGGCCCAAGCACTTGGGCCATCCTCCACTGCACTCCCGGGCCACAGCAGAGAGCTGGCCTGGAAGAGGGGCAACCGGGACAGGATCCAGCGCCCCGACCGGGACTAGAACCTGGTGTGCCGGGGCCGCAAGGCGGAGGATTAGCCTAGTGAGCCGCGGCGCCGGCCCGATCCACATCATTTCTGATCTTCACCGTGGCACAGGCAGGAGAGACGAGGAAACCAAGGCTCAGGAGTTACAAAGCCATCGCTCTGGTGGCAGGGCTTGGACGTGGCCAAGCCTGGCAAGCCGGCAGCAGCTGCTCTTCCACAACACCAAGCTGCCATGTGGAGGCCCCGAGCCTGCATGCCACGAAGGCACCACCCCCGCCATCCACCCATCAGTCGCGTGAGGCTGACTGATCACAGGGCCAGGGAGACAGGTGTCAGGCAGGTGCCTGGCCCTCTGGGACACACACCCAGCCCGCGCCCCCCGGCAGAGCGCCAGCTTCCTTTACCCATGGAGCTTCCTGGGGGGGGGGGGGGCTCAGGCTACAATTTTCCCATTGGCGGCAGAGCTAGGACCTAGGACAGGAAGGCAGCCAGAAGGGATGAGCTGCCCGAAACACCAGGTCTCCTTAGGCCTTCCTTTGAGCTCGGGTGGCCCGAGCAAGCTCTCCCGGAAAGCAGGGGACACAGCCCCCTGCAGTTTGGTTTCCTACAGCACAAATGCCCTGGCCTCGCTCTTTCTTGGAGAACATTCCATACCTCATCCTTTCAAATCTTAAGATACAGCGCATGTTAGAGGGGCTAGAAGACAAGTGGGAGGCAGGCACCCCACCAGGGTCAGCAGCAAGGTAAGGGACCTTCTTCTAAACAAGAAGCCCAAGTCCCACACCCAAATCACCAAGGACAGCAGAACGCCCAGGCCTGAGGTCGGTCAGCACCCACACGCCCAGATGTCTGCTGGGGAGACAGCCCCCTCCCTCTCCCACAGCAGGGCCTGGGAAAAACCCCAAGCCCTCGCTTCTCACAGAGCCCCTGAGCCCTGCAACCCGCCCTGCCCCCTCCATCTGCAGCAGCCGGCGTAGAAGCGGGCAGATGGCCAGGGACAGGCAAGAACGCATTCCATGCCTAGGATGCAGGCAGGGGCCATGTGGGGTACCAGGGGCCTCCACGGACCCTCTGGCCAAGCAGCACGTGTTTTGACAACTGTCACCAGCCCTGCTCACTCAGAGACTCAACACAAACCCCTCTCAGACAAAGACGCCACCTAATTAGCACACCGCGGATGCCGCTTGGGGCAAGTGTAGGCAACCAGACCACCGGCCCCGGCCCCTGCCAACGTGGCAAGCTGTGCTGCCTAGGAGATGGAGACCCCTCCTGGTTGCATGATGCTGTCCCCCCACTAAGGAGGCCTCTGCCCTACTTCTGCCTCACCATGAAACCACCACTACTCAGCCCTCAAACCACAGCCACCACGCAGCCCCCACAGGAGGCAGGCAGCCCTAGCTTCCCCATCCCCCACGTGATGCAGTCAGCCCCTCCTCTGCGCGGATCCCATCAGAGCACCTCCCTCTGGAGCCCTGCAAGGTTCCAGGGCCTCTCCTACCCCGCTCAGAGCTGGGCCCGCAAGGAGCAGGCCACCGAGCAGGGCCACATTAATCTGCCTGCCCCGGCCTTCTTACCCCACTTCCCACACATCACTCGGAAGTCAGACAAACCAGGGCTAGAGTGGCGGTTACCCTATTTCTACGGGCAAGTTACCCAAGCTTCCTGACTTGTGCGTCGTGCGGGCAACACAGAGATGGAGACACCGCCGGGCCCCGGGCAGCCAGGACTCCAGGTGGTTGTTCCCGCAGAGTGGCGGCGGCTCTTGGGGCAGCCCTGTGCCTTGCAGAGTCTCCTCCCTTCCCGCCCTGGTCTCAGAAACCCTGCCCACCACTTCCCCTGTCCCCCGCCTGCCCCAGCCACCACACCACCCTAGCTCTCCTCTAGCAGCCAGCCCCACTTATTTTTCATCTCAACGGAAGTAATGTGCACACAAGTGAGCCCCAAGGGGTGGACGTAGGTCCCCGAGCCTTTACAGTGCCAGAGTGCAGTCCACCTGCACGGCGGCCAGGAAGCAAGAACGGCACTCGGCGCAGACCGGGCTGGGCAGGAAGTGGCCAGGACGCTGGGCCTCTGCTCTTGCATGTATCTCAGAGGTGCTGGCAGGCTGCAAAGTGGCCGAGCCACAGCCCACAGCCTAAGGAAGCAGGGGGCAGTTCCTGGAGGGCAGACAAGCGGCCCTGGCACCCTGTGCTGTCTGCAGGAGGGCAGACAGCACAGCGTCTAAATGGCACGCTCCTTACCTCGGCCTGTGAGGGCCACTCCTGCACACTCTGCAGGTGCACAGCCCTGGCTTTGAAAGCCAGCTCCTCTGCTCACTTGCTGTCTCCAACCAAATGACTTAACCTACTTAAGCCTGCTTTCTTTCTTATAAAACAGACTTACCAGAGTCTACCTCCTGCAGCTGCTCTTAGGATTAAACTGGGGGGAAAATGCATTTAAAGCAGCTCTCCCTCTCTCTCATACACACACACACACACACGAGCTGGCTGCTTCATATCCAATCCCCAGGTAGAGTAAGACCAGGCCTCTGCAAAGGCCCCCAGCCCACCTCCATGGTTTGGATGGGAAATGGGATCAAAGGAGACCCTCTGCAGACCACCCCACTTGAACCTGTGGAGGCTCCTAATGAACCCTGCCCAGTCCAGGCCAGGCCATGTGTCCTCACAGGGCCAGGAAGCACAAGAACGGTGCTCAGCAGGTGCAACCTGCCCTCCAAACACAGGTCCCACCGTCGCTCACCTTCCCTGGGTCGTAAACAAGAGCTCTGGCCTGCAGCAGGGTCACCCGGACCTGGGTGCGAGTCCTGCCTCCCCGCGAGGCAGTCTGCTGTGGCCTCGGGCAAACAAGCCCTGACTCCCTGGGTGATGAATGGGGACCATAATCTCTCCTCTCAAGATGAGGATGAAACAAAAGGACGCCAGTAAATCACTTAGCCCTGTGCCTGGCACACAGTAAGTGCTCAGTTATATATGTGTCAAAGGCAGGCCTATTTTTAAATAAATGGTAACCATGCCACGCGCTCTGTCTCCCTGACTGGAAGCAGGCACAGCCCCACGCAGAACACAGAGCAGGTGCCCTGGAGCACACCCAGCCCGGCCTCCGGGTGAGAGACAGAGACGCTCCCTCCGGAACCTGCCATGGGGGCAGGGAACCCCAGCCCTGCTCAGTCCTATTCACTCTTCCCTGGAAGGTGGGGGGCGACACCAGAGACTCACAAGATGACGAGGCCACTCTTGGGGACAAATCCCCCGCAGACAGCAACCCTCAAGCAGCAAGGCTGGTGAGGAAGGACTGGATGCAAACGGGACATGAAACAGTCGTAACACTGCATCTGCCCTTGCTCTCCCGTGTGTGTGTGTGTGTGTGTGTGTGTGTGTGTGGTGGGGCGAGGTTTCCACAGAGGCCTCCAGTGCCCATCACACCTCCCACACGCCAGGCAAATTCTCAGGCCGTGAGCTACAAGCCACCCCCGCCCCCAGGCCACCACGGGTGGGTGCAGTCATTCCCTCAACAAGCAGCTGCTGAGTGGTGACCCGGGGTCAGGCCCGGTGCTGAGTACCCAAGAGTGAGCCAAAGTGGACAGGGCCTGTGCCCTCCAGGAGCTCCAACAGGGCAAGGAGAGGAGTTGTTAACCAACAGTTCCTGGGCTGCAGGCCCAACACCCTCAGGAAAGGCGGCGACAGTGACAAGTGAGTCTCTCAGGTCACATTCCTCTCACAGACGAGGAAGCAAAGGGCCTGAGAGATGTGATTTGCCCCATCAGAAAGGGACCAGAAAGCCACAGAGCGGGATTCAAAGCCGGGGGCTCCTGGGCAGGGTGGGACCCCTGCGCCCCTCCCTGCAGACACAGGGAAGTGTCCTGAGGAGGATGTTCTCACGTTGGGCAAGGCACCCCCAGTAGGAGGGACAGTCCAGCTGGAGGAAGGAGAGGAGGGAGGAGGACTGGCCCCCCAGTGGCCGCGCTGGCTACTGCTGTGTGTGTAAGGCACCCTGGGAGCAAGGATCCACGTCTGGGATGGTTGTCGGGAAACCGGTACCACCTGAGAAAAGCCAACTCGACTTCCTCTTGGAGAAACCACAGCCATGGGTGGAGGAAAAAGCAAAAAGCATCACGCTCCCTGGGCTTCCTGTCAAGGGTCACTTCCCAGGGGCAGCCCCAACTCTGAGCAGTAGGCGGGGACCCGTTAAAGGTATCCACGCGACAACTGCCAGCTGCCAAGTGGGATCACGAGATGACACCATCTCCATTTGACAGGGGAGGAAACTGAGGCACAGGGGTCACACAGCCAACACAGAGTGGACCCGCACTCCATGGTGTCTGGGCGGAGGGCAAGGCACTGGCTGGCGCCATCAAACCAGCAGAACCGTCAAAGGCCCCGGCTGCGCCTCTGTCCCGAAGCAGGACAGGGAAGCACAGTTCCTGGCCTGTCTGCCCCTGCCCCTGCGCAGGGAGCCGCACCTATGTAGGGAGGAAGGAAGGGTGTGGACACGCTCAGGTGGAAACCCCAGAAGAGCTGACCCACCCACGGACGCCCCAGGAGGTATTCGCAGTATGCTGTGGTGGCTCAGGGCACGCCGGGGAGGGGACAGGGA